TAACATTCTCCCTCCTTAAAGCCGGGAGCTTGAATAAGTTCTTCTAAAGTGCCTGCACTGAGGGAGCATGAACGAAGACACAGATATGAAAACAAGGAATGTTTGAAAACTTTACCTGAACTGATAAGGTTGTCATTTAGTGTGCCAGGGGTTGACTGAGATAAAGCTGGAAAGGAAATCAGAACTCAGTTCAACACAGATGGGCTCAGATGGCGGAAGTTTCCATATTCTATGCTGTGTAATTTTGACTGTATTGTGAGGGCAATGTCAAGCCCAGGAAGGAATGAAGAGAGGGGAGAAAAGGAAAGAATCCCAGGGTAAAATAACATTCAAGGAGTGGGCAGAGGAATAGGAGTTCGTAAAGGAAGGTGAGAAGGAAGTTGTCAGTAAGGCAGGAGAAGTCGTGGAGACAGTGACATCACTGAAGCCACGGGAAGGCAGCATTTCAAAGAACCGGAAGTAAAAAGTGTCAAATTCAGAACAGGGGTCAAATAACATAGTGTCTGAAAGATGTCCATCGGATCTGCTAATGAGAGAAATGGAATGAGAAGAGAAGGGGTCACTGAGGGCCTGAAGAGCCTCTTCTCTAGGAGTAAGAGAGGTACTGGGCTAAGAGGATGAGAAGTCGTGATCAGAGATGATTTATTAGGCCTCAAGACTTCAGACTATAGTTTTAGAGGATAACGAAGTAAAGGTAGCTTTCATCTGGGAGGTTAATGAGTTTTGAGGCAAAACTGTTGACTTCATGAATTTGACATGGAAAGGAAGACTACGAAAGCTCCCAAATCTATAAAAATGGGAAATGGCTGGGAATTTCCTGGTAAGTAGGTGTGGAGGGATGGTTGCAGGAACCTCATAAGGGGAGGCTTTTCCTTATGAAGGAGGAGGGAAAATAAAGAGGTGAAAGAGACAACAGTGACAAGAGATTTTCACATATTGAGGTATATGGGGTACCTATTCGACTTCAAAACTGATTCGGCTTGAACTAGAAAGCCTGACTTATGACCTATCGAACACACATTGTACATCTGCTTATCCACTAAACTAAAGAATGCACTCTCTTAAGACAAGAATGCAGACTTCCCCTCCTACCCCTATCGTTAATGCCCAGATAAGTCCCTTTCCTGACATCATGGTCATGTTGACCTGCTCACTTGCAACTGAATACCTCTTTAAAATTTTGATGAAAATATATCTTGGGTGTGTTTAATGTATGTTCTTTGTTCTAAAAAGATATCAGACTGTACTGAAACCCACGCTTCTCCAGAACACCTTCTAGGGCCTTCCTGAGTTATAATCCTCACGCTGACTCATAATAAACTCACCCTGATTCTGATTTATAGGTTGGTTATGGATTACTTGCATCAACAACAGGAAGGTTGAAGAATAGTGACTCTTCTCTCAGGCCTCATGATTTGTGGGGGGCAAGAAAAATACTGCTCCCTTCTCTAGAGAGGACAGAAGGTGGGGATAGGGAAACACAGGATTTTCACCATTTCTGAATGGGTAAAGAAAAATCTAGATACTTTCTACACCAAATGTAGTAGATGTGTAGTAAAGAATTTACAGTAAAGAATCTCTTGCCCAGAGAGAAGCTCTGGCCTTTGCCCTTGGCTTCTGGGAGGTCATCTCTGGGCCCTAGGAATGTTCCTGATGAACTATCTTTGTTTGCCTGGGGGCCTAGGGGCATACTGGATGGTCTAACAAAGTGATTTAGGGTGGCGGGCTGGCCACACCCATATAGTCTTAAAGTGGGGGCTTGTCACTTCAGAAAGACCAACAGTGTGACAAAGCGGAGGCTTTGGGCCCATCAACCTGGAGAGTGAGATTAGCCACATGGGCAATCAATCAATCAATCAGTCATGCCCATGTGATGAAGCCCCACTAAAACCTCTGGACACCGAAGCTCAGGTGAGCTCTCCTGGTCAGTGGTACTCCTTATGTATTGTGGTACATTGATACTGGAAGAGTAACCTGTCCTGATTCCATGGGAGAAGGACAGAGAAGCCCTGCAGTTGGTACTTCGAGACTCTGCTGTATGTACTTTTTTCCTTGGCTAATTTTTTTTTTCTTAAAGATTGGCACCTAAGCTAACAACTGTTGCCAGTCTTTTTTTTTTTTTTCTACCTTTTCTCCCCAAATCCCCCCAGTACATAGTTGCATATTTTAGTTGTGGGTCCTTCTAGTCGTGGCATGTGGGATACCACCTCAGCATGGCCTGATGAGTGGTGCCACGTCCGCGCCCAGGATCCGAACTAGCAAAACCCTGGGCCACTGAAGCAGAGCGCGTGAACTTAACCACTTGGCCACAGGGCCAGCCCCCAACCTTGGCTGATTTTAATCTACATCCTTTCCCTGTAATAAACTGCAATCTTGAGTATAACAGCTTTCAGTGAGTTCTATGAGTCCTTCTACTAGTTATTGAACCTAAGGGTTCGAACTTCGTGTCAGAAGTGAGGGTGGACTTGGGGAAGTGCCCTCTGACTTTGTGCTTGTCCTAAACTCCTTGCAGGATGAAAGATATCACTTTCTTTGCTTTCTTACAGATTGTAATTTATATTTTAAGCAGTTGTATGCTTTTTAAATAAAACATTCATTAGGCTCCTTTACCCAATATTTATCTATAATAGGTTCATGAATTCACTTAGCAAACACCTGTTGAATTTAACTGACAGCAATTAAAGCAGTTAGGAAAGAATTCATTTAAATTGTCTCTGGTGTACATTTTACCAAACTTTTGTTATTAAAGAGAAAATACCTTGTGTTGTATTAATACTTATTAATTGTGTGATGTGCAAACCATGTAATTTCTTTGAGTTTGATAATTTCTAAAGTTGAAGATGATATCTTTCCTATGGATAGTAATTAAAGATTAAGGTTTAATGAAAGGTGAAGGATAAAATGAGAGATGTCATTGAAAATTTCTAGTCTAGTACCTGGCACCTAGTGTATGTTCCATGAATAGTAACTGAGATAATGATAATATTATAAGAATTTTATATGATTCATGCTTTATAAATTTTATTGACTAAAACTGTGAGTGGCTGATATTTCTGAACTCAATTCTCCTTTATTTAAGGAGCTCATTTCATCATTGTGCAAACTTATGAGGTGAAGCATTATAATAATCTTAGCAAATCACCACCATCAGCTAGAGTCTAGTTACCAATTCCATTCAAATCATTGTACTTGAATAGATAGGATTTTTAAAATGTGATAGAATTAAACTACCTTACACTTTTATTATTGTATTTCTTACTTTTAAATATGTGAAATAAATTGATTCCAATGTTTTCATGCATTGCCTATGAATAACCATTTCTAGCTGGATTTTGATTACTACATAGCTACATACAACCACTTTTTGGTAAAGTTTCTGCCGTTGCCACTAGCATGGATTTGTGTTGTGATGATTAATGCTGTTTTTTAAAGCTTTTATTTCTATTTTGATTTGTATCAGAGAAGGCACATTCCTGAAATGCTTACCAACGTAACTCTTGACTAAAAATTAATCAGTGTTGCAGAAATGCCCCACCATTCTTGATCAAGTCAAGAATGTTTCCAAGTCAGTCATTTTTAGGTGATGAGTCTATTCTTTTCACTCGGTCTCCTTTTCTTAGCCTCTCCTTCCACTCTTTCAGCACAATAGTTTTTATATCCATAAGTATTTGGTGAGTCGCTTTGACTTTTAGTGACAAATTAAGTGAGTGAAACCGCTCCAAGGAGACAGAACTGCTCTCTCAAGACCTTTTCAAGCTGGAAAACTCGGGACACTGTTTCCATGGACACAGGACGCGTTGTCACGGGGCTAAGAGGGGAACAATTAACCCCCAGAGCCAGAAGAGAAAAGAAAAAAGTGGCTGTGGTTGGAAGAGGCAGCGGCTTTGGCAGGCTGGAGATTAAAATTTGTGTGGAGACGGAAGACGAGCTAGGAAACATCGTTTTATCCACTCTTAGGCCCTTTGCGTCCCCAGGTCGGTGGACCCTCCTCCAGCGGGATCGGCTGGGGACAGAGACGGGCACCAGGTGAGACGCGCCCGGTGTGCAGCTGCGCTGCTGGAGGCTCGGCCGCGGCGGCTCAAGTGAGGGCGGGACGCAGGTTGGGGGCGGGCTCAGCGGCTCTTCAGGTTCGTTCAGAAGCCTTTACCTCTTCTATAATTAACATTAACTCGCTTCCTCACTTTCGCCCCCAACTTTGGCTTCCCTTAAAGGACAGCAGGCACAAAGTGTTTGAGTTGGTCTCCCTGGTTTCCAGGCTCCCCCGCGCGCCCGAGAGGTCCTGGGGTGGGGGCGCCCCTGGGAAGGTGACCTGGGGTGGGGGCACCAGGTGTGAGTCGGCTCCAAGCTGCATAACTGGTGCTTTTCAAATTTGTCAGAGACAGAAGGGAGCTGGAATAAGCCGGTGGGAGTTAATCACCCCTGCAATAATTGTGGTGCCATTTCCAGTTTGCCAATGGATTCTTTTGATCGTTATCTGATTGGTTGCTCACCTGCATACTCCCCAGACCATATACATTGTACTTTTGAAAGATGTTTAATATTTTTCTTTAGAAGCTTACCATCCAACTGCAAGTTGGTGACGGGCAAATTTTAGTAGAGTTTCAAAATGCAAAGTAAATTTTCTCTCCGTCTCCCTTATAACCAAAAGGGGGCAAGAAAATACATGCTGTGGATCGAAGCACGTGGGCCAGGTCTCATAATTAAATCTTCAAATAATGAGTTTTCAAATTAGGTCTCAGGATTTGTGGGCTGCCTTAGTTGGCCAGGGCGGCCGTAACAAAAGACCCCAGACAGGGTGGCTACAACAACAGGAATGCATTTCTCACAGTTCTGCAGGGTAGAGGTTCAAGATCAAGGTGTGTGCAGGACCGGGTCCTTCTTGGGCCTCTCTCCTTGGCTTCAGATGGCCGACTTCTCGCTGTGTCCTCACAGGGTCTCGCGTCTGTGTGTGCTGTGTTCTAACCTCTTCTTACATGACACCGGTCACATTTGGGGTAAGGCCCAGATCATGGAAGTAAATTTTAGTTTAAGCCTCTGTGTTCTAGACAATTGCTCGGTCTGCTCTTTAGTTTGTGAATTTAGAAGCTCTCTTAGTTTTCTGAGGTCTTCCTTTAGTGGGAGACGTTTGGAACTTGCTGAGGAGCCTTCTCAGCAGAGCCTACTATATTGGCAGCATTGGGGGGTTTGTTTGTTTTTGGGTTTTTTTTCAGTCCCAAAGGTGCTAACTGTTCAAATGAAGTAGTGCTCTTAAAAGTGACTTTTTAGTTCGATATTTTTATCTTGGTAGTGACTCAGCCTCTGATGTGCTTGTAATATTGGCCCTGCAACCTTGAAATTGTTCTTGGATGCAGCCAAGGCCGTGCCATGAGGCCTGGGGATGATTTGTGGTGAGGGTGACTGGGAAATTTTATTTCGCCCTGGTTGCCAACTTCTCTATTTCATTGTGTTCTTTTTCCAAAAACTGTCATTACTGACCCAGGAATTAAGAACATGAATCCAAGTTTCCTTTGAAAATAATTTTAGTGAGTTTAGATTTGGCAAGAACCACATTTTATCATAATTCATTCAACTTCATATTTCATCCCCCAGTAAGTCATCATGAATTAATACCATTACAGATAAACTGGGATTATGGTTTATCCGTAATTGGAGACATCTCTGGATTAAACTGTAATTTTCAGACCCCATGTAGGTGTCAAATCTTTGCCTGGTGCTGGAATGCTGAGGTGGGTAAATTAATTCTCGCTTTAAACAAGCTTTCAAAATGGTGGGGAAGAGATCTGCCAAAGAGTGAATCTCTGTAGCACAGTGTGCTGAGTTCTGTAACGAAGGACAAAGACAATAGGAGCACACAAGAGAAAGAGATGGTCCCTGGGACAAGGCATGGGAGGATGTCCAGGAAAGTCTCACAGAAGAGGTAGCCTTCACTCTAGGATTTGGTAAAGGGTGGGATCTTGGCCGGAATACAGGCGGACAGGACATTCCAAGTGGAAGGAAAAGCGCGAGTGAAGGAGGTGCTTGGGAAAAGGGCAGGACGCGTCCAGGGAGCGGGGGTAGTAGAGTATGGCAGGACCAAATGGGACATGGTGGGAAATTAGCTGGAAAGGTGGACGGAGCCAGATCTTGGACTGTCTTTTCTTGAACAATCTTGTATGTGATCTGAAGAGTTTCCTTGTTATTCTGGAGGTAATCGGGAGAAAACCGAGGGCTCTGGGCTGGAGCCGGAGCTGATCAGTGTCCTGTTTGAGGAACAGCTCTGATGGCGTTCTGAAGGATGGATGTTTGAAGGAAGAGAGGAAGGAAAAGGGCAGGCACATTCGGAAGAGTACAGCGCAGCAACCCAGGGGAGGGAAAGCGGAAAGTTGAAGGTGTGAAGGAAGCCAGTGGCAAAGGAACTGGAGTCAGGGGTCAGAGAGGGCTCATCTGGTCGGGGTCTATGCTGCCTCACTGTGGATGGAATTATGTGATTGGCTATTGAGCCCTTCTAACCCCAAGATTCTATGGGTTTCTGTGACCACATAAGAACCCTACATTCCAGAGGAGAGCATTTCCCCCCACCTGTAAGTACGTATAAGAACGCTTCAGACATATCCGTCTGTATTTAAGAAGTGACAGCATCTCTCCCACCCCCAGTTAACGTCAGTTGAAAGCGGTATGCATAAATCTATTTACTTGAGCACGAATGAATTTTGTTTCTTTGATGAGTCTCCAGCGTGGGGACATGGTAATGCTTATCAGGGTTGTCTCCGTAAATAGTCACCATATATTCAAGGCCTACGTTTGTGCTTTATAGGACATTGAGTTTTAGTTTCTGTTCACTGGACTCAGAATAAGAATTTAATAGAAAATGGAGAAGTAAAACTATGAGAAAACTAGAGAAGGAAAGGAAACAGACGATCAGATGACATGGTACAGAAGACACTGAACTGCTGAATAACTTCTCGTTGTTTCCCAACTTCCCGAGATTTAGCGTGGGTGTAATTGAAGAAATATACCGTGAAGGCAGCAAGCAGGCCCGCAGACATACGGAGCCCACTGGCAATCAAAAGGTGGCGAGTACGGCAGAAAAAACTGAAATGATATGCAGATGGAGAACATGCATTTTGCAGCATTTATAGGTAATCCTACGCATCTTATCTCTAATTGGTAAGTGTATCATTACTTATATTTACTTCTTTTACTTACCGAACACTTATGTGTCGCTTACATTCACTCATTTAAAGCTCTTAACGTCTCCACGAAGTAGGCACTTTTGTTATTCCTATTTTGCAGATGGGGCAACACAGAGAGGTTAAGCAATTAGCCTACAGTCACACAGCTGGTAATCAGCAGAGCCAAGGAGTCAAACCCAGGCAGTCTGACTCAGAGTCCATGTTCTTAACCTGTGCGCTATACTACCTTTCTAAGTTTGACGGTGGGAGAGAAAGCAATGTTCTTAACACTATGGCTTGGTTTGGAAGAACCTCCACAGGACTCTGCCAAAGATGTGTGCATACTCCTAAATGTAAATGCAGGGTAAAAACAGGCATAGCGTTTACAGTCATCCGTTTCCTCTTTGGCTGATGGTTAATTCATTCATTCAGGTTGTTAGGTGTTAGGGATGCAAAGAGAAATTAGACACGATTCCTGCCTTCAAGAAACACACAGTCTAGGGGCTGGCCCCGTGGCCGAGTGGTTAAGTTCGCGCGCTCCGCTGCAGGCGGCCCAGTGTTTCGTCGGTTCGAATCCTGGGCGCGGACATGGCACTGCTCGTCAGACCGCGCTGAGGCAGCGTCCCACATGCCACAACTAGAGGAACCCACAACGAAGAATACACAACTATGTACCGGGGGGCTTTGGGGAGAAAAAGGAAAAAATAAAATCTTAAAAAAAAAAACACACAGTCTAGAGGGGGAATCAAATGAGTACATCGCATGCTTGGAGAGAGGGTGAGAGGTACTAGGAGAGCAGCCTACAGAGGCAATCGTGTGAGCGTGGACACGGACAGCAAGTCACAGTGCATCAGGGAGAGCTTCCCGGCAGAGGTGGCATTTGTGTTGGGTCTTTTTTTTTTTCCTGCTTTATCTCGCCAAACCCCCCTTGTACACAGTTGTATATCTTAGTTGCATGTCCTTCTAGCTGTGGGATTGTGTTGGGTCTTGAAGGATGAATAGGACTTAGAAATACAGCGAATGGAAGAACAGCATTGTATGCAGAGGGAACAGCAAAGGCAAAGCAACAAGTAAAGGAAAATACAACACATTTGAGGCACTGCAAGTTGTTCATCAGGATTGGGATGTCATGCCGACAGGAGGAGGAGGCAGGTGAGGGAAATGACTCCCTCCGTCAGAGGCCAAGCCACGAGCCCCGCGGGAGAAGCCAAGTAGCTTGACCTTTGTCCTGAAAGCTGTAGGGAGGCGCTGAGGCTTTAATCCAGCAGGCAGGCGATTGCATTTTTCTTGAAAAAATAATTCGGACGCTGGTGAAGGTAGAATGGGTAAAATAGAGGATAGAATGGATCAAATGCATAGACGTATTGTGAAACTATTGCAAAAATCCAGGCAACAAGTTATGGAATCCTAAACTCTTGGATTGGATAGCAGGAGAAAAACTGAAAAGATGTGTAGGGTGTGGCATATACAAGAGAAAGGGATTCTGTATATGTAGGGAAGGGTAGGCTGGAGTTTTCCTGGAGAGTGGTGTCTAAATCCTGGTTGGGGAAGAGCTGCATCAGAATGGCTTTAAAAAATAGACCCTGGTCTTCACTCCATAAATCCTGCCTTAATGGATCTAGGGTGGCAAGTGCAAATCTGTATTTCTTTCTTTCTTTCTTCCTTTCTTTTGAGGAAGATTAGCCCTGAGTTAATATCTGCTGCTAATCCTCCTTTTATTGCTGAGGAAGACTGGCCCTGAGCTAACATCTGTGCCCATCTTCCTCTACTTTATATGTGGGATGCCTGCCACAGCATGGCTTTGATGCAGGGTCGGTGAGCCGAGGAGTCGAAAGAAAGATTTCTTAGACTCTTAAGATCTGGCAGTAGTGCTCTTTTATTTAGAGACTAGTGTAGCATGGGGACAGGACCCATGGGCAGTCAGAGCTTTTGCTGCCCCCAGTTGAGGGTTAGTGCTAAATTTAAGGCATAGGTATATGATTCATCTCCTTACAAGACAAAGGAAAGAACATGAAAAAAAAGTTAAAATGGTATCAGTGCAGGTGGGGTCTAGTCATTGGGTGATCCCATGATTTTAGACAAGAATCAAATCGGATTAAGTAAAGGTTAGAAAGGTTAGACGCCACCACCCTAAACCAGTTACATGAGATTGCCAGACAGCAACCAACTTAAGTTCTTGCCTTCCCCATTAAGAGCTTCTAGGGACAAGGTCATCTCTCCTCTTCTTCCTGGTACAGAGAGGGAGGCACCTTTTACAGATAGAGATTTACCTTACAAATGTAAATATGTCCCAACAAGGGCAAGTTCCATTCCCCAGAGCCTCCTTCCCTGTCCCAGTTTATCGAAAGCAATCAGCCCAAAACAATCCTGATGCCAAAGAGACATATCCTGGGGTGGCCAATTTCAGGTCCCTACAAGGTCATCCCCCGTTCCTTCACAAACGCAAATGTCTCAAAAGAGCAAGCAAAATTCCAGTCCTCGGAGCCTGCTTCTCATCTACAGTTTTAAAAGTAACCAGCCTAAAAATCCTCATCATAAACCATTTTAAAATTAAGCAGCCTAAAAATCCTCATCAGCTTGACAAGCAGTGCATAGGTCTGCATCTGGGATCCGAACTGGTGAACCCCGGGCTGCCAAAGCAGAACGTGCAAACTTAACCACTGTGCCACCAGGCTGGCCCCAGGACTCTGTATTTCTTGGAAGTTTTTGAGTTCATTCTGCAGTGTAACTATGGTTGAAAACCATTATGATTCCTAAGTTTGTGGGCTGTATGCCTAAGAGATAATTAACATGGTAATAAAGGTTGGAAGAGACTTTTGGCTGAGAGAGGAAGGATGAGTTTGCTTTTAGACCTACATTTGGGCTCCCTGTGGGAAATCGGGATTGAACTAAATATGTAGGTTCAGAACCCAGAAGAGAGATTTTGTTTGTAAATGGATGGTGGTAGATGAAGCCATGGGTTTTGGAGGTCATCCTGGAAGAACACACAGAATGAGGAAAAAGATGGCCGAGCACTTAGGGAGACTACTATTTAGGAATTGACCTGAGGAAGAAGAGTAAGTTGAAGACACTGACAAGGAATCTTCAGAGAAGGTGAGAAGATGTTACTGTTGTCGTAGAAACCAAGAGAGAGTTGATTCACAGAAAGGAGTGGTCAACATTAGCAAAAGTTGTAAACATTTAAATAGGGTGAATAAGAGCAGAAGAGTGTCGACTAATTTATAAAATGGTGACCCTGGTGACCTGTGTGAGCAGAGTTAGTGGAGTAGTTTAGAAAGAAGCCGAATGATGGTAGATTAAGAGGGAAAAGGGATGTGAGGAATTGGAAGCCTGAAGTGTAGACTACAGTTTTAAGAAATTTGGCAAGAAAGAGAAGATGAGAGAGAATAATGGCTAGTAGGGTCATGGGAAGAAGTTTTTCTTTTTTAAAAATAGAAGAGATTTGAGAACGCTGGGGAAAATAAACCAGTGAAGAGTTGAGAGATACAGGAGAGAAAGGATAACCGATGGAAGTGGCTCCAAAGAGGTCAGAGGCAGTAGGGCCTAGAGTACACTGGGAGGGATTGACTTTGGATGGGAGAGGCAACACTTCCATTAACGTCAAAACACAGGTGAGGTGGGAAAGGATGCAAATAAGACAGTCGTATGAGAGGTAGAAGTTGGACAAGTTCTTACTTGATGGTCTCCATGTTTTTAGTGAATGGGAGAGGCCATCTACTTTGCCTAGGAAGATGCGTGTCACAAAGAACAATGTCTGCCAGGCGCCAACTGCTTCAGTAAATTTGATAGGATGCTGAGCACAATGTCTTTCATGCAATACTTGCAGGTAGCCAGTGGCCAAATGAACAAATAAACATTCATCATCAAATGATGATGCATGCTCACAGAAATAGAATAATGAAGTAGAATATATGCCCAAAGAAACAGAAACAGGATGTAGAAGTATGAAACCAATATGCTGGTTCAAAGTAGACATTAAAATTAAAGGCTGAATCAAGAAAGGACTGAAACACAGGAGGTCTAATTGAGGAACATTTAATGCAGTCTTGATACATTTTGCATTAAAAGATTGATTTTTAGTGCATGCAAAACATTTGGGATACACCATCATATTAGACCTGGCGTTCCTTTGCTCGCAGTGTTGATGTGAAGAGGCACAGGCGAGGCCCTTGATGCCCTTGGTATCAGGATGAAAGCAAGCAAGTTGGTTTGTGGCATTTCCTCACCTCCACTTTCTCCCAGGGCCATTCATCCATAGGAACCACTGCACATTGCCAAGGACCTAGGAAAACATTTGCAAACTGGGGAAAAAAAAGAAAAGAAAAGGTGTTGTCTCCAAAATCTGAAAATAAAACTGAAAACTAAAACTAATAACATTCTGTCAATTTCGTTAACTGTCAAATCTAGTATTCGTACAATTGTCGTTCACCCTTGAAAATACTTGGTTGGCTAACTTTCCTCACTTCAGAAAAACTCATGATATGCACAGCAGCTTGCCAGAAGTCATATCATAGCTAAATAATTTACACATAGCAAAATAATTTTAAATCGAAACCGTAAACGTTCTCTTAAATTACAGCTGTGTGTGTCTAAAAAATGGGCTGATGTGTGCATCTTAAAATGTCTGATGTGGTGCTGAAGATGACTCTAAAAGTGAGAAGTATAGAGTGTCTTCCTCTTTTAAAAGATCTGCCTTCTCTTCCCTCTCACAGGTCAGCAGCACGTCTCAGTTGTCCCTCTGTCATTTATACCTTCCCCAAACTGGGAAACACTCGCTTCTATATGCTGCTTCTTCCAGTTATTTACCCTTCTTTCCCTCATTGAGAAGTAGAAATCCTTGTCCCCAGTGAAAGATGTTGGTGAGAATTATGGGAGTCTTCTCCCCCTGCTTGAACTCATATCATGTTTAAGGGGCACACAGAAACTAAAATTCCTTAGGTGTTCTTGCGATGTGTGAGAGGGCTGGTTCCTGGGTCTGGAAAGACAATATATAGTGTTCACAGAATCTACATTCTCTTCCAAAGTCTGTGCCCTCCTGTCCTGTAGGCCCAGAGAGGCTGAGGCATTCACTGTGCCCGCAGCCTTGCCCTGCAACCTAAGGTTATGTGGTTTGTAACAAGGTGGGCTGTCTGCTTGCAGCCCCACGGTCCAGAAAAGCCTTGGTCACACTGGACTGCTTCCAGGGATGGAAGGGGAGCATCTTCATGTAGCAGAATGGTGGAAGGCGTGCTGGGATGGAAAAACCCATCAGAACACCAGGAATTCACACCTAGGGCAACACACGGTGAAAGAGAGAGCAGAAAAGAGAGCTAAAAGAAACCAAGTACAAAATAAAGTGAGCTTTTGGCATAGGATCCTTAATCCTTGTCTTTTCAAGCATTATTATCTCTGTGTGATGTTGATTGAATAATATATAATCTGGGAGAAATAGCATACTTTTTTTTGTTTTGTTTTGGGTTTTTTTGGTGAGGAAGATTGGCCCTTTGAGGCAGATTGTCACTGAGCTATCTGTGCCAATCTTCCTCTGTTTTGTATGTGGGACACCACCAACAGCATGGCTTGATGAGCAGTGTGTAGGTCCACATCCAGGATCTGAACCCTGGGCTGCCAAACAGAGTGCAAAAACTTAACCACTACACCACCGGGCCTGCCCCAGCATGGATTTTTTTGAGTTAGAAAGAACTTTAGTGTTGACATTGATGTTCATTAGAAATATTGATGAATTCAGTACTTGCTGTGAATTGTATTAACTTTTACACTTAAATGCCACTGGAGCCCATTCAATTCACTGAACAAAAATATGTTGAATGCGTAATCATCTACTCAAATTTTAAAAATAAATAAAATAGAGGGAGTTTTGGGTTAATATTCCTGACCCTTGCCTCCATTCTCCCCCTAGCTATTTGTTTGCACTGTAAGGCACTTTGTGGCTTTTAATTTTCTCCTCTGAAAAGGGAGATAAATTAGACCAGGTCCTGATGTCTAACATTCAGGCCCCCAAGCCTAATATGGATCACTTGACCCCAGATGAAATTTTCACCATGTTAATGAATGAGCAAATGTGAACCGTTACGGCAGTAGCACCTAACCAGCCTGGCTGCCGCTCCTGCCTTCTAAGTGCTGTATGAACAGGCTTCCATCATTACCAACTCAAATGGAATGCAATTAGTTGTATAAATGTGAGCTCTTTGCATTTACTTTCATTAAAATTATATCATGACAAAAAGAAAATAGATGTAAATCAAGCCACACGCCCTTGTTTCAGTTCTGAGTCACATCTGTTTCTCATACGGTAATCTTGGACTTTCTCCAACTCACATGTGGGAATTCTGATCATGTGACCTTCTATCCAAAACGTGGGTGCCTCTACAGGTCTGTGATTGATTCCATGATCTATATAGTTCTATTTTGTCACCCAAAACAGTAATGTAAAGATGGGTCTTTTAACTTACACCTAAATAATCAATCATATGTTTAAATTTAAATTGCTTTAGAGATTTCTTCTTTTTTCTCCTTTTTAAATAGGAATTTACTGACTGACAATGGCAGGAAAAATCTTAGAGAAATTGGATGTTCTGGATGAGCAAGCAAAGATACTCCTGGCCCGTAGAGCAAAGGTTTGTAAGATAAAAGGTAAAACTCAACTTAATCATTAAAAGGTTACCGTTCCAAGTGTGAATGATTACTTTTACTTTTTAGCTAATGATGCATTAATATGAAGACACAAACTAATTTGTAAAAAACAAATAATTAGTTGAAAGATTGTCTATGTAAGTGGATACTATAATTAATTAAATAACATTAATTAAGGTACCTTAATTAAGGTAACTTCTAGATAGCTGCCATGTTCGGTCATGGTGTAGCTAAACTGCTTGAGATTAAACAATCTTAGGCAGTCAGACAGTAAATGTGACTACTCCTGTGGTTCTTACTAATATGTTACACACATAAAAAGTTATTTGGTTTGTTTATTAAAATGAAGAAAATATTTTGTGTAGTTACCAAATTAGAAATAGTTCATAGACATTAAAGTAAAAAAGGTGAAACTCTTATAAAATTCAATGTAAAATATTAGCAAAGAACATAATTCTCAAAAAGCAAGTTTTTAGCACATATGAGCAATTTAATTTGGTTACACAGACTTGCAAAATAATATAACAATGTGGATAAGTGAGGCGTGGATAAAGAGCAGGGAGTCTGAGAAATTAGGAAGACCCCACAGAGAGGAACTCTTAAGTGAATGAATGTATTTGTGAATCTGAAAATGAAAACGTTGATGTGTGAATAATGATTTGATTTTCTTTTTTTTCCATAATTATCTCCTTTCATTCAGAAAATAAAGTAGAGGAATATTGGAAAGTGAAATAAATTCATTCTATTATAGCTATCAAAATTTTGATATAGCAAACCAGGAGTAACTTAGGAAGGCAACCATGTTAGACTTAGATATCCCAAAGTTCATTTCCTTTAGATTTTTTGTTTAAAATGAAAATAACATAATTCAGAAAATATAATCAGAGATAAATCTATTTAATTTGCCATGAAACTCCTTTCTTATATATTTTAAGTTATGATTACTAATTCTTGCCTTCAGTAAGAGCTTCCTTTGTACAAAGCATGTCTGTGCCTTATCTCGTTTCGTGTTCCTATGCAGAGTTCGTCTCTGGAAATTCTTTTAAAAGTATAATCATTCTTTAAACATTTCCTTATTTTTTAAATCATAAAATCGAAACACATTTTTGGAAATAAGTTAAGCAACATATAGATATGTATAAAGAAAATTATACACAAGGAAAATTACGTAAAGAAAAATGGTCTCTGGCTTCTTCTCTGCAACCCTTTCCTCTGAGGCGAACAAGCTTTAGCAGCTGGGGTTTATCCGTCCACATCTTCTTTTGTGCTCTTACAAAGATATACAAATGTGTAATGTGTGTGTATACATACACTTATCTTTACATATAAGTATTCATAATATAAATATACACGTACATGTACATAATACACATACGTTTATGAAGGTGGATTGTCTTTCTTTTTTTTTTTTTTTTTTGTTCGGAGGAAGATTAGCCCTCAGCTAACTACTGCCAGTCCTCCTCTTTTTGCTGAGGAAGACTGGCCCTGAGCTAACATCCGTGCCCATCTTCCTCTAGTTTATACGTGGGACGCCTACCACAGCATGGCTGCCAAGCAGTGCCATGTCCGCACCCGGGATCCGAACCAGCGAACCCCGGGCTGCCGAGAAGCGGAACGTGCGAACTTAACCGCTGCGCCACCGGGCCGGCCCCGATTGTCTTTCTTTTTTATTGACCAAAATGAGATAACAATATATAAATCACTTTGGTAATTGACTTTTTATTTTCTTAAGCTGTTCATTTTGCAATAATCATAGACCCACAGGAAGTTGCAGAAACAGTACAAATAGTCCCATTACCTTCCACCCCGTTGCCCCTGGTGGTGACATCTTAATGTAGTTCTAATACAATCTTAAAACCAGCATGAGTCATAACAATACCGACGGTGGCATATTACTGTTAACTAGACGACAGGCTTTGTTCAGCTGTCACCATTTTGTAACCTTTATTCATTTGTGTGTAGTTTTATGCAATTTTATCCCATTACAGATTTCTGTAACCACCACAACAAAGATACAGCGTGTGTGCCTCACCATCAAAAAACTCCCCCGTGTTACTTCTTTGCGCCTGTGTCCACACCCCACCCCGGTTCCGTCTCTGTCCCTGGAGGTGGCTTATCTTTCTCCATCTTTATAATTTTGTAACTTTGAGAATGTTATATAAATGGAATCATTCAATATGTCAAATTTTGACATTGACTTTTTCACTAAGCATAATGCCCTTAAGGTCCGTCTAGGTTTTTGTGTGAATCAATAGCTTTTTTATGATAAATAACGTACAAATTTTATTGCCGAGCGATATTCCATTATTTGGATGTGCAGTGTCAACCACTCACCCATTGAAGGACATTTGGGTTCTCAGTATTTTGCTTTTAACAATAAAGCTGCTAAAAAAAACAAGATGAAATAAAGTTGCTATGAGGACTGGCCCTGTGGTGTAGTGGTTAAGTTCATGTGCTCCACTTTGGCAGCCTGGGGTTCACAAGTTCAGATCCCGGGTGTGGACCTACACACCACTCATTAAGCCATGCTGAGGCAGCATCTCACATAATAGAAAATAGAGGAAGACTGACAAAGATGTTAGCTCAGGGCCAATCTTCCTCAGCAAAATAAATAAAAATAAAAAGTAAAGCTGCTATGAATGTGTACAGGTTTTTGTATGAACATAAGTTTTCATTTCTCTGGGGAAAACGCCCAAGAGCGTGATTCCTGGTGCAATCTGTGTCTCTTAAACTCAGCAAGGTCAAGGTCACAGGTTTGGTTTGAGTTCACCCTCCTCAGCCTCAGCCAGGAAACTGCCTCCAGGAAATAAGTGGGGCTATTGTAGGGTTTGCCTCGTTTGTTTTCCTTCCCTCAGGGATCACAGTCCTGCTCTGCCTGTTTCCTAATGCCTGATTGCAGTTGTTTGTACGTATTTTCTCAGATTTTCTAGTTGTTTACAGCAGGAGGGCAATCCCCGTTGCACACATTGGCAGATGCAGCCGTTTCCACATCCTTTTTTTTTTTTTTTTTTTTGTGAGGAAGATTAGCCCTGAGCTAACTACTGCCAATCCTCCTCTTTTTGCTGAGGAAGACTGGCCCTGAGCTAACACCCATGCCCATCTTCCTCTGCTTTATACATGGGATGCCTATCACAGCATGGCTTTTGTGAAGCTGTGGCATGTCTCCACCCGGGATCTGAACCGGTGAACCCCAGGCCGCCGAGAAGCAGAACGTGTGAACTTAACCGCTGTGCCACCGGGCCGGCCCCCCCACATCCTTTGACTTGCTTTCCAACTTCTCATCTCTTTATCCCTCTGTGCTGCGCTCTGAGAGAATTCTTTAGAGAAGACTTTTGGCTCCTGAATGCACTTTTCAGCTATATCCTTTTTCTTCTTCAGTCCATCTGTATAAATATTTGCACAAAGTCCTCTTCCAATTGCTTTCTTAGCTCTGTTCCTGGCTCGTGTGCCCGGAGGAAGGTTGGTTGCTTCGCCACGTGTGTGTCTACAGGAAAAGGAGCAGGTTGCAGAGACCTGCCTGCTGTGGCTCCAGCAACTCTCCACATCAGCATTGTCTTGGCTGAATATACGGGTCATTTGTAAACACTGAATTTTAGAATTCGGAGGGAGCCTCCATGATGATCTAGTCCAGCGCCCTCATTTCACAGATGGGAAGAGAGTGGCTCAGGTCATGCAGCGGTGGTTGTTAACAAGGCCCCCAGTTGTCAATCTGGGAGATTTTTCCATTATTGCCTGCCACATAAATTCTGTGTGTGTGTGTGTGAATAAAGTGAGATTAATTTTGACCTTTTTACACAGGATTTTTCCTATATGAAAAGTACTCATTTTTTTCAATGTTGTACTTTGGCTTTGCTGCAGAAAAACAGGCTTCAGAGTCAAGTAAAGAAAAAGACTTTGGTGACACCCCTGACATTTGATTTTCAGTTGGAATTTGAAGAGCCTGTTGCTACGTCCACACGTAAGACAGTATCAAAGATCGCAGAGCACAGATCATGTGGCATTAAGCAAACAAAAAGGTAATGGTCACAACTGTCTAGAACTCTCAGTTTGGAGTTGGAAAGCACTGCTGTATATTTGTCTTGGCTTATGCGGTCTGTATTACATGTAAGCTTTGTCAAGCATAGGTGTATTTCATAATGGTGGTAAGTTCCAAAAATGCTAGATTAGCATTCTGAATATTCCTAATTTATAAAATATTTGTTATAATATTCATTATTACAGGTTATAATTGCAGATAGTAATAACAATTCTGAATTTTTAGAGAAAGACTTTTCTTGAGCTCTATTATACTGTCCCAAATTAATGTCAGGATTTATTTCAGACTTTCACCAATATACTTCAAAAAGAAAGTCTGCCTAGAAAACTAAGTAAGGCGGTGTACTGGGTGCTTCCAGAGTGCTGTGTGCTTCCAGGGTGCTGTGTGCTTCCAGGGTACTGTGTGCTTCCAGGGTACTATGTGCTTCCAGGGTACTGTGTGCTTACAGGGTATGTGTGCTCTCAGGATACTGTGTACTTGCAGTGTGCTGTGTGCTTACAGGGTACTGTGTACTTGCAGTGTGCTGTGTGCTTGCAGTGTGCTGTGTGCTTGCAGTGTGCTGTGTGCTTGAAGTGTACTATATGCTTACAGGGCACTGTGTGCTGTCAGGATATTGTGTACTTGCCGTGTACTGTGTGCTTACACGTCCTGTGTACTTGCAGTATACTGTGTGTTTGCAGTGTCCTGTGTACTTACAAGGAGTGGGCTGAATATGTCATGCTTGGCCTTTCACTGGCATTGTGTATGTGTGTAATGCTACGTAACTTTTTAGGCATCAGAAATGTAGCGGAGAGCCCAGACAAAAGAAATACTGAGAAGTAGAATCCATCGAACTTCAAATCAATTGGACCTTGGTGATTGGGTGGATACTGTTTTTATCTCATTTATTCTGTATAACAATCCAGTGTGTTACATGCAGTTTTACAGATGAAGGATCCAAATCTCAGTGAGGTTAAATAACTTGCCCAAGGTCACACAGCTAACAAGTGGCCGAGGCTGGATTTAAACACTAGCAGTCTGACTTCAGAGCCTGTGTGCCTTATTGCTGCTCTGTTCAATAGAGTGACTTCCAGCTTCTGGGCTTCGTGACTGGGTGCACATGGCGCCTTGCACTTGGGTAGGGAAGATGTCCTGAAGAGCAGATGGGGTGGAGAAGAGCATACAGTGAGAAGAGCTGAGCCCTCTTTTGGATTAGTTAAGTTTTCGATACCTGAGGGGCATCAGGCGGTGGTGTCTGGAAGACACTTGGATAAACATGGCTAAATCTAAAGCAAAACAAGACACAAAATACAGCTCACCCAGATGTTTGTTATTCCTGACTTACCAGGGCATTAGAATATGTTTCCATTATGGAGCCTCAAGAAAAAGGAGTTTGTTTCTAGCACAAATAAATATGAATGGTTTGCATAATGTAGCTTTTCCACAAACTTCTTACCTTACTACTTAGTTTTCATGTAGATACAGCCAGTGACTTTACTTCAAAATCATTTATAAAACTATTCATATTAAAATAGAACATTTTAATAATACACAGAAAAAATGCATAACATGGTAGTTGGGAATGTGGAGAAGGGAAAAAATAACATATATTATTTTGTATTATTTTTTGTTTGTATATGTTTTTAAACTTGTCTATGTGTGTCATTACCTAACAGTATAATATATGACTAATGACCCATCAGACACCCTTGAAGACAATGTGCAGTATATTTTATGGCAGTGTTTTCCAAGATGATACTGCTTCTGCCCCTTTCCTGTCTGACAAGACCATTTCCTAAGTTTATAAAGGCATTATTGATCCTGTGTTAATGTAAGACCAATAGCTGAGTAATGTTCCCTTTCAGTTAAGTGTAAACCTGGCTAACTTGAAATTTGAAATCAGTGTCTAAATTATAAAGACAAAGAGGCACATACTTTCAAGATGCAAAGACCAAGTAAATTTGGTTTGATCAGTGCCCAGAGGACCAAAACTGGCAAAAAAAAAAAAAAAAAAAACCCAAAAAGTACAGGAAAATTTCAAGAATTTACACAAGAATCAGAGTGTAACCTAGGCCAATGGAAATAAAACTTGACTGAAGAAACTAAGAAGGTTCAGTACATGTGGCAAAGGCCAAGCAGCAGCTTTCAATGTAGGCTGTGGTTTTTGCTTCCAAGACCGCTTCTGTCTGCCCTCTGCCTGTCTTCCTCGAGTGGCGGCTTTGTATTGTTTTTGAGAGTGAAACCAAGTTCTTTAGATGTTGGTGATTTGGGGAAAATGATAGAGCTCCTAGTAACACTCATAGTTTTAACACACTTTGTATAATTTTTTCTATAAAATAGAACTATTTAAAATAGCAAAACATGAGTTAACTTGCTGCTATCTGTAAAAAGATAACCCGATTAATTTATGAAACATGAAGAAATAAAACATGTTGTAAATTACCGTTTAACTCTCTGAACAAATTAAGCGTAGCTGCTTATGGCTCCCATGTGGGTCTATTTCTGTTATCTTTTGTTTCCCTGGGTATCGGTCACATATGGTTTTATCTTCTCACATGCCTCGTTATTTTTTATTGAGAACTGGACATTGCATTTGAAAAAGTGGAGATATAATTTGAAGCTGTAGGCGATGCTCTCTTCTCCAGAAAGGACTGTGCTGGCTTTTGTCAAGTGGCTAGACTAGGGGCATCAGCAATCCTAGATCAGGGTAGAAATGATTCAAAACTGGACTTCAGGTTTTTCGAGGGTTGGTCTATTTATGGTTCAACCTTACTTCTAGGTTATAAACCTTTGGGGTTTCAACCCTCACCTGAAGGATGTATTAGGACCCTTCCTCTTTGGTGGGCCCTGAACTCCAGTTTTGTTCCCACAGCCCCATGAGTTTGTCAGAAGCGCCACACAGCTTTCTTGCTTCTCTGATGCTGATTATAAAATTGACAAAAACGCAGCCCCGAATGCCAGGCCTGCCCTCTGAGCTTCTGTCTTCCCCTAGCTCGTGGCCCCTCAATTTCTTCCTGCTTTGGGAGCCTCTCAGATGTCTTTAAACAAATGTTTTCAACATTTTGTGTAGATACCTAGTTGCTCTAGAGAGATAGCTGGTCCAAACCACTTAGTCTTTTATTTTCAGAAGTGGAATCTAAATCGCTATTTAATATAACCCTAGATTTCACTCATATTTGAATGATTCTCCTTCTAACACAAGTTATTGTTGTTTCTAGGGCTCTAAACCAAGTTCAGATAAAAAATCCTTGCAAATAATGAGTTTATCTTTGTTAACAAAGCTCTGATATCACATTCTACTGTAATCTTCACTTATTGATTTGACTCTATCTAGTGACTGATAGACTCTGTGGATGCTGCAGCAATGGTGAAACATACTTATGTGTTGAAGTTCAGTGGGGGATTCAGAGAAGCGAACAGGCAGACATCAGTCGCTGCAGAGAGAGTCCCAAAGAGAGGGTCAGCAAACGCTTCCTTGAGGAGGTGGCACGGCGGGCGAGACCCAGAGAGTTAGCGAAGAGGCAACAAGATTTCAAAGTGGGAAAGATGTTCCAGCCAGGGCAATAATGTGGACGAAGGGTCACCCAGAGGCTAAAGAAAGCCCAGCTCATTTGAGAATCCAAGAATAGTTCAGTGTTGCTGGACTTGACTGGGAGATGGGGTAGAGACTGGAGGGTGACTGGTGAGAAATGAGGCTGGACAGGTAGTAAAGGCCAGCTCACCAGGGGCCTACGAGCGAGGTAATGAACATTGGACAGCCTCCTATAGCAGCGAGGAGCCACTGAAGGGCTTAAACAGAGCAGAGCATACTCAGATTTAGATTTTAGATATATCATTAAGTAGCAAAAGGAGTAATTAAAAATTCCATGGGCTCCTCAGAGAACCCGACCTTTTTCTAGAATTTGTAGTATCTCCAGAAACTGCCTCTTCCAGGAAGCAACCCGTCTTGCAGTAAGTCCTTTTCTAACCGTAACAGAATGATTGCTTAAATAACAGAGCACCCGGCAGAAAGTTTCTATCCTCATGTCAACAATGATATGCTGGTCCTGTTGGTTATAGTGGATAGAGTCGACTCCCCCACATCTTGAGATGCAGCTCCCAGGCTTATAAATTATGCTACTTACAGCTCAGGATACCAGCCCATGCCAGTGCTCACACCCCTTGCTCCTATGCTGCGCCAAGATGTCAGATCTAATTCACTCAACTCTCAGCTTAGCCTAGACTTTGTGTCATAACTGCCACCACCTGGCCCAGAGACTTTTCTGGGAGCTACATGCTTCTTTCATTTTTGATCTCTAGCCTCTTGCTATTCAAAGTGTGGTCTTCCACCCAGCAGCATCGCTGTCACCTGGGAGCTTGTGTTAAATGCAGAATCTCTGACCCCATCCCAGACGGAAGCTGCATTTAACAGGATTCCCCAGATGACTCCTAGGGAAACTGACGTTTGAGAAACACGGCTGTGGCCCAGTGGTCCTCAGACACAGAGGGCTTGTTCAAACACAGATTGCTAGGCCTCACTTTTGGGGTTTTAGATTCACTAGGTCTGGGCTGGTACCTGATAATTTGCATGCCTAATGGTTTCCAGGTAATTTTGATGCTGCTGGTCTGGGGACCACCCTGTGAGTCACTGCTCTAGCTCATGTCCCACTCTTTTCATGCCACCCAACACCTACATCTGTTCTAGTTTTTCCTTGTCTTGCTGAATATCAGAGCAGCTCCCAGCCTAGTGCTGTGGTCACCTAATGGGGGAAACCCTCCAGGTTTATTTGCAGCTGAGCTTTGCTTTCAGAGTAGTAATATTCAACCCACCTGCACATTAGTATTACCTAGGGACCTTTAAAATATTGTATTCTACTTAAATTAGTTTGGAATGGGGCCCAGGCATTACTATTTTTAAGATTCCCCAGATGATTCTTACATAAAGCCAGGATTGAGAACCATTGAAATTCTTAAAGGGGCCAGCCCAGCAGCATAGTGGTTAAGTTCGTGTGCTCCACTTCA